TAGGGAAAGGAGGAAGTCTCCAGATGATCATGATCACCTGAGCGACAGCAAATCTAGGACTGTCGTAGCTCATGTTGAAATGGAATCTAGAAATAACAGAGAACAGCTGGATAATGACAGGATAAAATCGCAGTCACGTCATCCCTCCGGTTCTCATGGGGATCAAGATGATATCGGGTATAATTTTTGTTCTTTTACCATCTGAGTAGTTGTGGTTGGTGCTTTTTTTTTTTTGAGTTGATCTATTCGCTATAATTACATTTTGTATTTCAGTTCACTCATGCTGTAGATCTTGGGCGATTACCTTAATTGATTGGATCTAATAGTCTGTTTGTTCGACTTGTCAAGAACTGTACTTGCTGTTTCTCTTTTCCCTTTGTTTTCTTGGGCTGCATAGTGAAAAGTCTTGAGCACAATCATGTTTTCATGACAGGCATATGTCGGATCTGAGATCAAAAGGGATCTCTTCCAGGGACACAGCTGATCTGTCTGGAGGATCAGAGAGAGGTTCAACATATAGAGCTTCTGAGAAATCAGGAAAAGTGGAGGATGGTTCTTTCGGTGAGTTGTCGGTTGAAAGGTCTTCCAGTTCAAAAGCTTCACCACAGGGCTTAATTGAAAAATCCCCCTCTTCGACAAGTCTTGAGCGTAGATACATAAACCGAATTGGTACAAGACGGAGTCTTGAGGTCGAAGAAACAGGCCAGAGGAGCAACACTCGAGAGCTTTTGGCTCATGAGGAGAGATTGAGTAGGGACTTAGCCGCTGAGAAGTCTTTTGGAGATGATTCGTCCCAGGTGGGACTACCCTTTAGCAATAAAGCCCACCAGAACAACTCGTCTTTCCCACCACGTCCAGAATCCAGAGGTGGAATTGGCAGTCCTATGGTGGGCTCTCTTGAAGAGGATAACAGGGTCAATGTCGGTGGGCGTTACAAAAGGGGTGGTGATTTGAATATGGGAAGAGGACAAGGGAATGCATGGAGGGGCGCACCAAACTGGCCTTCTCCAGTTCCAAACGGATTTATTCCATTTCCACATGGGCCTCCTCATGGAGGTTTTCAATCTTTGATGCCCGGATTCCCATCTCCTTCTCTCTTTGGTGTCAGACCTTCAATGGAAATGAATCATTCCGGAATCCCTTATCACATGCCTGATGCCGAGAGGTTCTCTGGTCACCTGCGACCACTCGGGTGGCAACATATGGTGGAAGGGTCAGTCCCTTCTCACATGCATGGGTGGGATATGAGTAATGGTGTTTTCAGGGATGAGCCACACATGTTTGGAGGAGCTGAGTGGGACCATAGCAGGCGAGCTCGTAGCCGGGGTTGGGAGTCTAGTGTAGATTCATGGAAAGCCCAAAATGGGGGAATGAGCATGGATGTCTCGTCGGTGTCCCAAAAGGATGATGAGCAGTCAAGACAAGCTGTGGATGAAAATGCTCTTACTGGCCAGACGAGTCACTCTGAAAATAACAGGGCAAAAAGCGTGGAGGCTGTGTCTAATCTAACGTCTCCTGCAAAAGACTTGGCAATGGATTCTCCTAAAATCCAGATTGAAGATACATCTGGCCGTCCTGTCTCAAAGACGGAGGTCAACGCTGAGAGTTATGGGCGATATTATCTCTCTAAGCTTGATATATCAGTAAAACTTGTCGATGCTGAGCTGCAGAACGAGTACGTGGGCTTACTAATGGATGAACAGTGTCCAATAACTGACGAGGGAACTGCCGTGGTAATAAATCTCAAGGTAAATTCTCTATCTGCCCCCACTAATCTGCCTGACATTGGATGTTCTGTTCGTATGTGCAGTCTCTTTTTCTCGACCAACAACAGTTAAAGATTCTTTCTATTAAAATCTTTGTGGAGTGCAGGATGAAGGGAAAACATTGTTAAAGGGTGACTATGCCACCTTGTCGAGGTTTTCGGTGATTCCTACTGCAAGGAGTTCATTGTTTCAGGTGATGATGAATACAACTCCGATGGTTTTTCTTAGTATTGCTTTGCTTCTAAGTTTGTTTCTCAGTGACTGACATTGATATCCTCGAGAATGATACATACATATTATACTAAACGTGATGATGTTGGATGTGCAGGTGGCTATGGACATGTACAAGGAGCAGAGAGTAGAGGTGAAGGGGCTTCCGAATATGGAAAAAGAAAACGAGGGGTGTCCTGTTGCCAATCCGGATGGTGGTGATGAAGCAAAGGAAGAGGAGGATTGCTGTATCAGAGGAGCATCAGATGTGGAAATATCACAAGAGAGGCTGGAAGAAGCTGCGTCGTCATCGGAGGCGGAGGCAGATGGTGGTGATGATGATGTCAAGTCAAGAGGGGATGATGTTACTGATGAGGAGGAGGTGGTAAGGAGAGGGGAAGAATTAGTAGTTGCTGAGACTGGTGAGTCAGTAGTAATTAGTCGACGGATACGTCAAAGTACACATTGACCCCACCTCTCTGCTTTTTTCATCCCCTTCCATTTGCGGCTCTGCTCCAAAAAAAACAATAAATTATTTTCTTTTATTATTTCCCTTTTTCATTTGTTCCCCTTTTGCCCTTTCAATAAAGAAAAAAGAAAAAGAAAAGTTCAAGAGAGACCAACTAAAGCTATACCCCCCGCCGAACCCATAAACCCACAAGTGAAGAAACCAGAAAACAAATGAGTTTAGGACAACCTGGGGCAAGTTAAAAGCCCTTGCTGCAAAAAACAAGTATCTTCTTCTTCTTCTTTCTTGGACAAATGTGTAAAAAAAGCTAAAAAGAGAGAGTAAAAGGAGAGAGAGGGGATGTCTATATCTAATTCATGAATTTCCTGCAGTTGGGGGATTGACACAGACAAGGCACCTTGAATTCATCAGGATCGAACAAGTAATCATACCTGTTTCCAAACACAGCCAATACACATCGTCATGTCGCCATTAGAGAGAGAGATGTATAGAGAGAGAGAGAGAGAGAGTGTGTGTGTGTGTACGTACGTTAGCTCGTCGCCCTCAGATAAGTTGGTCTTTGCAATGAGGACGATACGGCTTTCTTCATCACCAACGCTCATTATCCTCGCATAGCAGTTGGGCATACACTTCATCCACACCCCCAAACACACACACACAAAACATCAATGTCATGTCATGTCATCCCCCGAGTTCTTGTCTGTCTTTACCAATCTCATATACCCTTTTCTTTTTTTTTAAAAAGAGAGAGAGATTGTGTTGTGGGGGGAGGGCTTACCGAATGGTTGATCAGACGAGCAATGTTGCCTTTCTCAGTAGCGTCCACAACTACTTCCTCGCTGATCTTGAACAGCTGCATTACTCACAATCACAATGCCAATTCACTACACACACACACACAAATCAAAAACAACAAAAGATCCTTCTTTCTTGTCTCTTACATAACAATCTTTTCCTTCTCTTTGGTAACGTGATTCCCTTAGGTCCGCAATGCTACGTCTCACCTGTTCCCCTCTGTATTCCAGCACCTGAAATATATATATATATTCATGCATTCATTTGTATCTTCTTGCAAAGTTTAAAAAACCATGGATCTTTCTCTTTGCCTACCATCTCTCCCTCTTGGATATTCCTTCTCCCAAAGAGCCCCCAGCCGTGTATCCCAGATCTCCCACAGCATACTCGTTCCATCTCTGTACTCTGTTCACAGAGAATAAAAAATTGCACTTGAAACAACTGAAAAAACCTCACACACTCCCCATCTGGGTCTTAATGCTTTTCTTGCCTGCAGGTGACTAAGCCTTTCTCTGAACGACGAAAACGATTTGGGTTCTTCCTCCACCTGCTACACGTTATATAACCAAAAACAATTTTCATGAAAAAGACTAATAATAATAAGGTTCATCAGATAAGCACCCAAAATAAAAAAGCAGAATGGCATTACAGGAAGACTTCCTTACCCTGAATGTGTTTAGAGTTTGTATCGCTGCTGAAGGATGATGGCTGGGTCCCCTAACGCGAAGAGGGATGGCTTCTTCTTCAATCCTCTACCAAACACACGCACAAAGATCAACGTACTGAACTAACTTATGCATACATAGAGATTTTTAGTATCCATGCAGATTACCTTCTTGCTATTAATCTTTCTTTTAAATGCTCGACAACGGGCGGCCGAAAATGGGTCACACATTTCGGTCTCTTCTGCCGGCGACTCTTCAAGTTCTAATCTGTTTGATGAAATAAGTCTGGAACCACTTCTCTTTTTGTTTTGAACAAGGCTTTTGGCAGAGAAGACCCCTGAAGGAGTTTGTATAACTAACACGGTATCTGTGTTTGGAGCCCTGCACCAAAAAACCAAGAACGCGAGGAACAACTCAAAACCAACTATCAAGCAGTAGAGTAATATCATAAGCTCAACATTCGAGAAAGTTTGCCTGTGATAAGCACAGTAGGACACCATCCTTGTCATCTGTCTACCATTTTTCTCCAAGCAGTGCAACTACATTCAAAATCCATTGTCAGGAATATCCCCAATCAAAAGGGATACACAATAGGTAGTAAAACAGCAGCAGAAACATTGAATCTCCGGGAAAAAGATAATAGTTAGCTGAAGGCACTTAAGGAGAGTAATGCTATCTGACATCAGTTGCAATTCACAACAGTTCAGATGAAATGAACTGGGACTTTCAGCTGAATTGAGGAAAAGGTCGGAGAAGATTTGGCTTTACCTCCATCCTATAACCGGCCCTGGAGGCACACATGGCGTGATAGTACGTAGAGCACTTGCAACACTGGGTGCACGATCCATGTATTTGTTTGCAAATTACACACATCTGAAACCCACATAAACCAAGGAAGGTTTCATCATATTTTAGTTTTTCTTGCAAGTCTTTAATCTTTTTTTTATTGATCGAGGCAAACAAATTGTAGACATAGCCAAAAAGAACATAATAAAGCAAAATGGAGACAACAAAAATCAGGTTCCATTGAAATTATGATTTTTACCTTCACAAAATTACTTGATAGAATACTCAAAATCCCCACAGCTGGTTCCATTTTCTCTTCATTTGCAAAACATACTTCGGGCTGAAACCAAGCACATGTCACATGAACCCACAGTGTCTCCACATCAGTTGGCTTCAAAGCACCTCCTATCGTCATCAAAACATAGATAGCCATGAAAACAGATGATGTGCAAAGACAACACACATAGTCAATAAAGAAAACATTCTTCTAGGAAAATATGCAGAAGTGCCGGCCGGGAAAAGCATTAAATTCCAGAGAAATCTCTTCTACAGTATCAGTGTTCATAACAGTGAAATAAACTAAGACTGTCTCAGACATATTTTCCAAGGATATAGTCAAAAGAAATGCACAATAGAAATACATGCCTTTTACAGGACAGAGGCAGCATTCACGTTTAATATCAGGTGTCTCGCACGTTTTGCAGACCCATGAAGTGAAATCACGAACATTTCTAGCTCCATAGCATTCTTGATGGACTGCTATCTGACATCTGCGGGGGGGAAATGACAAAAAGACATGTATCGTATTTAGACAATGCTTAACAAGGCCAATATTTGCCAGAAAGAAATACCAATAGAACAGCAATGTTTGATGCTGATTCATAGAACTGATAATAATGAAATGGGAAAGTTTTGGCTCGATTATCTTATCTAGGCAAACCCGTACTAGCAGTAAACTTCAAGTTTACACGAACCCCCATGTGAAATAAAGATTGATGTTTTTTCATATAAAATACAGCTCATACGCAAACTTCAACATAGAATTCACAATATTTGTTTAGATGAATGAAATAATTGGTGTTTAGTCACAATCCACGCTTTACCAAACAAACTTGAGCAAAGACAGCTCATATTAACAGCACCTGTTGCAGATAATGATCTTGTTATAGTCCCAGTCTTCAACCCATCTGCATACCGCACATCGCTCTGTTGTCCACTTTGCGTTGACTGGCTCGTACTTCTCTGCCAATGATCAAAGAAGTAGTAAACATAAGCAAAGCAAATGACAAAATGAAGCTTTTAAAGGTGATATACCTCTCAGAAAAGCAACCAACCATTGCTTTCTCTCCTTTGCAGAAGGACGTCTAGGAGGTTTCTCTGCAGTGGCATTTGCATGGAACTCTGCCAATTTCAGCATCTGTGGAGCAAGGGAATGGTCTGAGCTTAAAAATTAAGGTAATTTACTTCTGTAATAGACTAGACAAGACAGAAGAAGAAGAATTGTACTAACCCATTCTTCTAGTGATAGTTTTGAGCTTTTAACTTTCACACTAGTCTTCCAATTTCTTGCTTTGGAACCGGTATGTCTTTCCCATTCACTAAGTGCTTTCCTTTCAGGTCCACATGACCCACACTTACATACAACTCTGCAAAAAAATCCAAATGGGGTAAAAATACTGTCAGTGGATCCACTTTCAGAGGAGAAACCCGAAAACCCAAGTAGTTATAACTCAGAAGGCTCTTGCTTCACGTTAGTTTCAGAAGTGAATTTGAGACAGAAGTACAAGGAATGTGGAATTAGTTTCTGCTTACAAATGAAGGCTTGGAAAGTATACACCTTCCACTCCAGAGCAGACAACAATAACCTTGTCAGGAAGCACCGTACGAACATTGATTTTGCCTAGTCTGTACAAGAAACTCAAATTTAGAAGTCTGGTAATGACAAGAGAACTGTTTTAACTTTAAGAAAGAATTGATGATAAATTATGAGGGGGGAGGGCCTACTTGGGTTTTGAGTCTCTTTTTTCTGAAGCAGACAATTCACAGTTAAATTTTGCTCTGCAAGTAGGGCAACGGTAATCTGTTCGCCCAAAATCCTTTAAATTATCGAATGAAACTGGTCAGAAAATCTGAATTTACTTACCATTCTCATAAATGCAAGTAGATGAGAATACAGCCTTTAAGAAGTGCAAAATGAAAGTACCTTAAAATGCTTGTGTGATATGTGGGCACATGCTGCATGTACCCAAACCTTACAGCCATTGCAGCGCACCTGATATCAAGACGGATATCAGACAGTGAAATTACAAAAAGAAAAAAACGACGACATGACTATACATCAATAGTTTGTTAAATTTCTCACCCAGCTTTGACTGTCCAAATGATTTTGTATCTTCTTGCATATACCACAGTTGTTCTTTGATCTTGTGGACTGCAAGAACGATTAGATATTATCTTTACAACTGATTTGAACTGAAACCACACATGGTAAGACAACAAAAGGACAACAGTGCAAGTCTACATACCCTCGAACAAGTTTTACACAATAACCGATCTCCAGGAATCAGAGCTTTCATTTTTTTTGCAATCTTAAAAGAAAGGATCATTCCACATCCTTCACAGGTTCTTGGATCCCTGTATTTCTTGAATATGTCCTGCAAAGCTTAGAACAATTAGGTACACTGCCAAAATTGAAAAGAGATTTATGTAAGTAAAGAATGAAGGTCACATTACAGGACTCATGCATGAAAAGGAAAAACAAGTACAAATGAAGTCAAAGGTTGAAGATTTTGCCTTGTTAGAAGTGTGGAAATTGAGCTCTTGGTTAGAATCGTCGAAATTCGGGTTACCGGAAGCCATGTTAATATCTTGCATCAACTTTTCTGTGAATCCTTGTTCTGCCAAAAACGCTTCTTCCAGGGCCATCTGAAAATCCCCAGGGTTGCATCCATGCAGTTCAGACTGTTCTTGGAACCTGAATAAGTAACTATTAAGCACAAATCCACATGTACAGTCAATTCTGTAGGTAAAAAAAGAAAAATATTAGTAACCCACCTGTCAACGTAATCCACGAAGGGGAAGATCATACCCCTTATCACCCATGCATAATCCTGTTTACACAATCAGAGTTAAATCACAGTCTTAACACTTGACAGATTTTAATACCTTACAAGAAAGCAAACTCTATAAAAAGTAAAAGTTCTTCATCTAGAAAGCGAAATGCCTTCCATACCCTTTCGTTCTCGTTCCCTGAGTGACCAAAGAACATTACACAGGCTGCATCCGGTATACAAGCACGCAAAACAAGCTCGGGAGCCTGAGTCATTGGATCAATAACAATGGCAGGCCAAAATGGCTCATTTTCCCCCGATTTAGCCCAAACCAAGTCCCCTGAATAGAAGTTCTCTGGCCCATAAATCCCATCTTCCTTCACATGATTCTCATCTTCCTGCAATCTCTCGACAGGAGGGCATTGCTCATCTTCAATGAACTGTTGCTCGTTAAGGGAAGAGAGCATGCCACGTGAACGTATATACTTCCTCATGCAAGAATTGTTATATCCAATACCCCGTTCATATTCATCATCTTCCTCTTCTTCACACAATTCACTGTACTTAAGATTCCGAGGACCGGATTTTCCTTTGCGGGGCTTGCTTTTCAAAGCATGGTTACTTGCTTTCGGAACCCCAAAACTAAATTCATCCTTCCTGCATTCTGTTTCCTCCTCATGATCCTGAACATTACTAGGTTTGCTTTCTTTCCTCCAATTCTCCATAACAGAGTCGTTGAACCGAGAAGGAAGTACCTGAACTCGTCCCCTCGATGTCCGAACAACCGGAGGACGCGAAGCCTCAGCTGTCAGATCCCTCCCACGGCCGGAATCCGGTCTTCCATTGGGCTTTGATTCGATCTCGCCGGGAGAGCACGAAACTTCAGTGCACCACGAAGCATAGAACTTCTTCTCCCTGGAACCTCGAATGCTCTCATCGAGGCTCACCGGAACGATCCCGGCGGCGATCTCTCCGAGAATGTTGAGAGGGTAGTAACCGCCGGAGTTTAACTTTCTCTTCTTCCGAGTCACCGCCGTGTCTTCGCCGCCGCCGTAGTCTTCACTCGCCGAGCTGCCGAGTTTGCACCGTTTCAAACTCGGTATTCGGGTTTTCAGTTTCCGTTTGATAATCATTTTCGTTCAGACGATTAGGTGCCAATCAAAACATCACAGTTTCCACTGTTCCAATCCAGAAACAGCAACTAAAACCCCTCTCAGATTCGCGAATCGCCCACAAACCCTAATCGCACCTCAATTTCGGTATTTCCCAGACTCGAGCGACCACCACCGAGAAAACCTGAGAAAATTCCTCCGTCGCGCTTGACCCACTATCGCAAATTGCATACAAGTCGTAGCAAACAACGAAAGGAAGAAAATTGTGTAAAACTATCGATGGAAGAAGAAGAAAAAAGAAAGATGTTTCGTAGAGACACGAAAGAACATAGAGAGATCTGTTCCTACTCTCTCTCTAAATTCAGAGAAACCAAAACAAAAGGAATGCGACTTTCCATGTGATCGGAATAAGAAAACCAGAATGCCAAAATTTCTGTAATCGGAAGACGAAAATTTTCGCAATTTGTTTTACGAGTAAGAAAGATTTTAGAGAGAGAAAGCGTGACAGAGTTCACGAGAGAGAGAGAGAGAGAGAGAGAGAGAGAGAGAGGAGAAGAAGGGGAGGAATTTTGCGTTAGTTTGGTGGTGTTGTATTCTCTACTCCTATAACGTGAACGTGCATTTTACTGGAGAACAAGGAGCGTGGTCTAACCTGAGCAGCGCGTGATGCGACCACGCTTTTCTTCTTCTCCTTCTTCTTCTTCTTCTTCTTTCTTCATTCTCTCATCGTTTATCTTCTGTTTCCATGGAAACCAAATTCTGAGTTCGAGTATCATGTTTCTTTCCTCTTTCTATGATCTCTTCTGTTTGTATCTATGGTGGTGCTTGTACACAGAGTATTGATCTTTTTGCCACTTTGATAAATGGGTTCCAATTTCCAAGAACCTTGGAACTGGAACTTATACTTTGTCGGACAATTTTTCTGTATTCTGTGGCTTGTTCAATTGTTGTGTTCTGTATGATTTAAGGTTACTATTCGTTTTCTTTAGTGAAAAGGTGTAACCTTTTTTTTTTCCATAGCTATGGTTTCTCTGCGATTCATAACTTGAATTTGACATGAAATTTCTTGTGTATCGATAATAATATAAAGTTGCAACGACAAATTGAAGATTGCCCACCAAATGGATGGAAGTTCCGATCTCGAACACGAACGTATCCGAATCCGACCAATCATGAAACCCGGTTCTGTAATTTTGATACTGAAGATGTTCGGTTGCTTCTTTTTTTTTCTTGTTGGTTTTAGTTGGAAGAAACTGATATAAATGAAATGGAATAAAATTGAAATGTTTCCCACCAATTTTTTTTCATATTCTCGTACAAGGGTATTCTCGTAAATGCAATAATAGAACAGAACCGGTCGGTTTTCCCGGTTCTTGTCAAACCGGTTGTCTATCACGACAATCTGACAAAACAAAACCCGATACTGTAATTTAACAATTCACTGACATATAATCAAGCAACATCTCTCTCAACATCTACATTTATTCAAATTCGGATTCTGCATTGTTTGTTTTGTTAGAGAATTGGTTCGTCGGTCCATTTTTCTTCTCCCGGGAACCAAAAAAGGTTAAGGCTCAACGTCAACTACATAAGCTTTGACTTGACTTCTTCACCAAAAAAAAAAAAACAAACCATAAGCTTTGACTTAAAAATCATCAAATATAATAAAAAGACAAAAATAAAACCCCTAAAATTTTGGCATACTTTATAATAATTCTAATTCACACCTCATTATGTTCAAACATGTGACAAAAAAAAAAGATTCCAACTTTTGCGGCTCTTTGCAAAGTACACGACACAAACACATCCTACAGCCTTTTTATATTGAAGATGAAAGTTTATACACATACATACATACATACATACATACGTATATACATATATATAGAGAGAGATGAAGCCTAAGGGGTTTAGCCGCCATTGCATCAGTGACTAGAGCTTTCCTCCTTCCTATTATTCTCTTATTCAAGCAAAACCATATCTACAACAAAACGAAGATGGATTCTACCAACATAGGGTTATTATATATACTTTGCCCTTCCAACTGCTTCTTGTTCTTGTTCTTGCTCTGTTCTGTCTGGTTCGATCAAAACTACTTTCCGTCTTCCTTCTTGAAGATCTAACGCCTCTCCAAGGTTTTCGCAAACCGCCCTCGGATCCTTGGTTGATTGTCTGCAAGAGCCTTTCTGCAAGCGTACTGAAGATATGTAGAAGAACATCAAAGATTAGATTCGGTTCAGGTGGCAAAAAAAAACTTTTTTTTTTGGTGTAGTGAATGGTCTTCACCTTGATTTTGGGTCCGAAATTCCTCCTCCTCTTCTTGTTCCTGTATCTCGAAAGCTTCTCCCGACGGTCTTCGGAGATGCAGCTGACGATGATTCGGTCAAGGGGAGATTGGACAAGACCCATGTTTTGAGTTCCAAGCGTCTGTCCTAAATCCAAAGTCCACTGAAATTTTGATCAGTTCCCAGTTCTTTGGAGAAGACCAGACACAAGAAAGGTCTGACCTTTATCGGTATATTCAAACAAGTCACAAGCTTTTCTGCAAGAAAATGTTCAATTCAAACCTGTATGTCTCCTTCGCTGAATGCTCTTCTCATCCCATAAACGGCTCCGAGATCCAACTGAGGGAATTCCGGAAAGTTCTGAATCATCAAAGCCTCGTGCTGTGCCATGTCCGTATAGTTCAGATTGCCTGAACTCGCGCTCTTCTGAATCGGTGCATCAGTTGCCGCTTCACTGTCCAAAACCTCGGTTAATTCGCCGTCGATTTTGGCCACCACAGTGATGTTCTTGATGTCGAAAACCTCGGAGAGTGGGGACTTGATGGAAGATTCCATCATAAGTTCATGTTCACATTCGTATAAAGCCTTGTCCAGAAGCTGTTGCTCGCTCAGAAACGAATCCAAATCGGAAAGTCCGAGCCCTTGCTGTGAGGTTACAATGTTGCCTTCATCGCAAGAGATCATCATCAAGGCTTCGTACAACGGATCAACGGCTGAGATCGGTTCTTCCATGATCGGTTCAGGGGCTTTGAACAGGTCACCTTCACCTCCAAGATCAAGATCATACTCGTATATGTTTGATGCCTGAATCAAGTCACTCTGCATAGAAAAAAATCAGACAACATAAGACAAAAGGAACACACACACACAAGATCACAGTGTTATTTGGACCAAAACTTGATTTCTTTCCTGCTGATTATTACCAGACCTCAATCAAAACCAGAAACAAAACATGGTCAGAGGACAGGGAGAGTGTATTTTCTCGGTTATGCAGAGAAAACAGATCATTTGGGACAATCTCCTTTGTCCAAAAAGGGGCATGAACGGACAAAATCCATTTCCGAGCAAAAGAATCAAACAAAAAGTGAAAAAAAGTTCTTGAAGAACACGGAATCTATGTTCCGGAAAACACGAAAGTTCATTGTCAATCGTATAAGATTCCCCTCCTTTTATAGTTCAAGTCCAGCTAGTAAAGAGAGAAAGGCAGCCCCTCATTATTTCAACCATAAAAAGGTATTGTTTGGTTGCCGAGAAAATCATCATTTCTCACGGAAAAAGTTTTGGTCTTTCAATATCTTGCAGCACAAGAAGTTTCCGCCTTTTTCTCTGCCCAGAAAGACCAAATTTCCACTCATTTTCCCAGCAGCCAAAGAGATGGGTCAGCGCGGAAAAAGTCGCATCCCATCAAGTGCCAGAATTTCGGACACTTAAGTAACCAGTTCAAGTGGCAATTTGCCGTAAACCACAAATTTTCCCAGGAAAAAAATAACTTCATTAGCCACTCAAAATTTGCAGAACAGGAGCCAACCCCTCGAAATTTCAACCCCAAAAACACAACCCAAAACAAGAAATTCAGTATCAATCACCAAAATTTTAACACCTATCTCAAGCAACAAATGCAAGAGGTCATGAAAGAAACCCAGTAAGAGAGAAAACGCGAGAAAATAAGAACAAACAAACCCTCGTAAAAAAAAAAGAGACGCGAAAACGGCTAAAAGAAACCATTTTTTTATGAAAAGGAAAAGGAAAACCAACCATTGGATCATTGAGGTTGTGGGATTTGTAGGGTTCTTCGAATTGCTGAAGTTCAGGAGAATAACTCTGCATGTATCGAAAAATCAACCCAGTTTCTGCATACATTTCTTCTTCCTCTTGTTATGGATCTCTGAATCTGAATCTGAAACTGGAAATGGGTTTTGAGCGGAGGAGAGTGGCCACTAAAACGAAGAACAGAGAGACAAAGTTGAGAAGCAAAACCACAACCTGAGGGAAAGTTTGGTACTTTCCGAAAGAGAGAGGAGGCTAATTTATATGTGTAATAATGGGAGGACACTGCCCATAAATATAGAAGCTTTAAAAACGACGAGAGGGAAAAATACGACAAAAATTGTATTCCCGGTATATACCCACTGCCACTTTTTATTATTATTATTATTATTACACGTAGTTGATAAGAATATTATTAATGTGAAAATGAACTTTGGTAAAATTATAAAAAGAAAAAAGAAAAATTCCAAAAATATATATGAAATTGTTAATTTTATAAAATAAAATCTAAATTTTTTTATGAAATAAAATATCAAATTCATTCTTGAGTTATAAATAAATATAAATTTTATAATAATTATCATTTTTAAATTCATCGTATATATCTGGATATATGGTATTATGGATGATGATATATCAAATATGATCAAAATATTGACTTGTTATATAGGATATTAGTACGTCTATCATTATTAAGGTTTAAAAATGACAACGAATATAAAGTTTATACTTATTTTCGACGAAAAACTGAAATTGGAGTTTTATTTAAAAATTGGCAACAAATATTTTTTGAGGATTTTCTTTTTAAAAAGAGTTTGCAATTTTTATTATCTGAAATTTATGAAATTAATTTTTTTTTAAATTTTTATTGGCTGAATGTTTAAAATTTGGGTCTTAAGATGATTTTATAGTTTGATTTTTTATTTTTCATTTTAAGCGATGAAATAGTTTTTATCATCTTTTAATATAGATAAATATGTTACATTCGTAGGAATAACTAACGAAAAAGAAAGATATCAAATATAATTTAAGTTTAAAAAAAAGTTAAAATATATGTTAGAATTTTAATAATTCCCCTATTATAAATGAAATCCATATTTTCTAATAATTTTGTGTTTGTAAAATTTGAGGCTTTATCACTACAGTCATTAAAAATCATGTCATTAGTGGATGGGTATGTTACTTGTTAGTAATCTTTGAATGCAATCTAAATAATGAAATAATACTTTTTTGTTGAATTTCTTCCCCATAAATTTTGTATTATAGAAGTACTCATTTTGTGCAAACACATATGTATAGGTCTTCTAATTACAGAGGTAAAGGAAAAATGGAGATGAATATGGATTTATCTTTTAATTGCCGATTATTTTTTATGATTTTCATTTTGTTATATCTTAAACTTTTGTGATTTTACAGTCCCTACAATAAAAAATTATTATTTTTATTTATAGTTTTTTATTCAATGTGAAAAAACTTGATTTTTAAAATCAATATTTTTAAAAAATAAAAACCGCTTTCAATTTGATTATTAATAAAAATTTCAAATTATAAACTATTTTTAAACCATATATATACATTATATTCTTAATATAATTTGAAATCATATATTCAAGTAAAGAAAATTTTAAAATATCATTTCATAACCCCCTTTATTTTCCTATTATATCATTCATCTCCCAATAATGTGTTACTTTTCCCTTTCTTTTTCCGTGTTTTTTCTTTTCCATTCCTTTGGTTTGCTTTGCATTTACATTCAACAACCCAGCATTTGCTTTTTAATCATTTCAATTTTTATTTTCCCTTTTTTCATATAGTTTTGGTACGCGAAGAAATCAATATAAATAGATATTAGTCAAAAGAATTATGTGTATACTAACTATTAATCATAACATAGAAAGTTATGTCGTTAATTCGACATTCTTTCGTTTAATTTACTCGATTTCTATCTGAAACCCTTTTCTTAAGATTTTTTTTTTTCGAAAATAATTGATCTATCCTTAAGTTTTCAACGGTGACATCCTGACTGACAATTTTAAACTTTTAATCATGTTCGATAATTTTTATTTGTTACAACGATAAATTACCACACACACTATGACATCTTGAACTACGATGAATTGGAGAGTGGTCGTCGGTGTAGATCACATGGACAAAAAATGGCTCTCCGAGTACTATTAGGTCAGAGGGTACAAAAATGAATTGAACGTACCGAAATAAGAGCGATATGAGGGTTGTGTATGTATGAGACTATATTGTCAATTATAACTTTAAAAAATTGATTGAACTACTTGTACCAACAATATGCATCTACTTTTTCGGTTGTCTATCCCGAAAGAATTTTTAGAAAATATTTACCAGGATATATGCAAGTGAGAACAAAACACACAAAAAGATCTCGTGTTGGTGTGTGAGGGTAGTTTCATATTTCGTAGAACAAAACTTAATTTCTGATGAACAAACATTTTCAAGGTTGGCCTACATCTTAGTCTTATCATAATTAGAGGAATACCGAATTTGATGAAAAGGATTCCGACCTCTTTGCGTATAAGGACGAGGACTTCTGATGTTGGTCAATGAAGATATACAAGCAGCAAATTGTTGGTGATTTATTTTTAACCAAATCAAACCAAAAATAAAATTAGATCATTACATCTAACACATATTTAATTTATTTTTTATTTCACCATGCAAATCAAATATCATAAAATAAAACAAAAAAAGGCATCTAAAAAATAACTTTTTCACAGGAGATATTACAAAAAAAAATTGAATCCGAACAAAAATTGATATAAAATTTATAAACAATTAAACAGTGACTAAATTAGTGTAGTTCATATAAGAAATTGAGAAGTTAAAAAAAAGTGTCTACATATCACCCAACTTTTTTTAATATAAGATTGTTAAAAAAATGGATTTAGTCATAATATACAGAAAATATGTACGCTACTATCATTACGTTAGGTCCAATCAAAAGACATAAGTGATCCAATGAGATTTCAAATGAAAATCGTTCTAGAAGCAATCTGAAAATATCATTGTGCATTGATAACCGCTGTTACAAAATCTAGAAATAACGGTTAAAGTACTCAGTAAAATACTTTTTCACCCACAATTTCACTTGGGTTAGTTTTACTTTGATAACAATGGATTTAAGTATACAAATAATTTTTTATTTAAAACAGTTTTTTTAAGTGTCTCCGAAAATATATATCACTTAATCGTTGTCCAATTCACACCATCTTTTATCAATTCTACATTGTAGTATTTTAGTTCTTCTGAATTAAATAATTTCCACACATTTTTTTAAAAAAAAAAAAGTTAGTAAAACAAGTGTTTCCAACATGTAATTTTGAACACTACTGAATTTAGTCCAATTGAATTCTATTTATTAGGAAAACATTTATTTTTTTTTACAAATTGTAATTTAAATTTAGTTAATAATGTATTTTTTTTAGGAATATGCATAGCCAAAGAAAAAGGACAAGAGTTCAGTTTTACAGTTAGCGTGTGACTTAGTAGACTCGAGCTTTCAGGCTTTGGTCCATTTGCGACCTCAAAATAAAATTAGGAAAGCTACATTCATATCTAATTAAAACAAAAAACAAAAAAAGAATAATACGTACAAGTGGCAAGTGGTAATAAAATAAGGTTAGGTCAGATTCTTGGGACTCTTTTTTATTTATTTTGTTTTTTCTAATGATTAATTTGACTGAACAAATGTATTAGAAGCAAGCTTTAAATTATTCAACTGAGGAGCAACTTGCAGCCAGTGACTGAGCAATGCACATGTTTGTGTGGAGCCTTATTAGTTTGTCAGTCTTTCGCGCGTGATAGCATTTTCTTACCGCATAATTATTTCACTAACTAAATAAATCGAATCGAATGGAACTGAATAAAATATAACCATTGTGACTCATGGTATTTAAAAAAAAAAAAGATATGTGGACAATTTTTTTTTTTATAATCCGGAAGTTCACCGGACCTTTGGTCCGTTTCTCCCCAGGCTTGGATTTGAACCCATACAGTAAATATTTTATATATATATATATATAAAAATGCACATACACACAGACTGCTGTTTGGGATATGCTCATGAAAACAGATTCTCCAAAGGTTAACCGCAAATATATTGAATAATCATTTTTATATATAGGTTTATATATTGTAGATAAATTATCTCTATTTGTCGTTGGCGGCTTCTAATGATAGAAACAAAATTCATGCATCTGCCATATTTGTTGCAGTAAAATGTTTTTTATATGATTTTTTTCATATCGCAAACATTCCAAGTATACATTTTTTTTTTGTCAAAGTAAGTATACAATTTTATATCCTATTCTTTTTTCTACCTGTTATTATATTTGATTTAATCCCAGTATTAATTCCTAGCTCATCTTTTATATATATGTGTGTATATATATATTATATTATATACCATATTAGATGCCATATAATATTGATGGGAGATCCTTGCAGGAAGATTTCGGGCATCCAAATCCACTAAGTATGAAATACAAACTCGTTATATATTGTTCATGATATGTAATTAACCATATAATATTCCATAAATGATGAATATAGATTATTTTTTTAATCATACATTCGAATCAAATATACTATTATATAACATATACTGTAGGCGAAAGACGACAAAACTGTTCCTGCCTTTGTGTTCATTTCCCAAAGAAAGTGACAAATTGTTCATTGTTCTTTTGCTCCATGATTTTAATCGTGACAACGATGCATGCAATAATATACACACTCACTTGGATGAATACAAAAAAAAAACATTATAAAAATGATATTTTCAAAATGCATGTGCGCAATTCGCAACTATCATATATAAGTTGAAAATATTATGGCTTTGCATTCGCTAACATTAAATCATATAATAT